GAGCGAGTCCTGCGCCTTGACCTGCAGCTCGCTGAGCGCCGTCGTGAAGCCGCCGTACCGCCTCGCCTCCGTCGCCTCCGCGGCGAAGAGCTTGACCGTCTCGAAGTTGAGCAGCGAGTCGACGACCACGTCCTGCGCCCTCTTGCTTGCCCCGTTCACCTCGCGGCGCTGGCCGACGCGCATCGTTGTCAGGGCGACCGTGTACCACGTGTAGAGTGCCGCGCCGCCGACGACGCACAGCGAGATGGCCGGCACGCCGATCTTTGCGAAGACGGCAGACGTGAGGACAAGCTCGAGCAGCGTCGCAGAGATGGAGAAGGTTGCCACCTGGCGGGGCAACAGGGCTGTACAAGCCAATGCCGGCACTCGGGGGCGCGCACTCGAGGGCAGCGTCTTGCTGGGCAGCGGGTCGCCAGCCTCCCAGGCCCACCTGCAGTAGCGTCGCGACCGCGCCGACGCCCTGGTTCATCACGGCGAGGACCTCGCCCGTCTTGCGGTTGAGATGCCAGCGGAGCGACAGCGCGTGCAGGTGCTCAAAGAGGCGAAGCGAGACGCGCTGCGTGATCCGAAAGGAGAGGCGGCCCCAGAGCGCCGACTGCAGCTGCGAGCAGCCGTCGGAGCAGATGGTTAGGCCGCAGTAGAGCAGCACCAGCGGCGCCGTGGCGGCTACGGGCTGGCCGCCCGCGGGCGCCGAGAGCGCGTTGACGACGAGGCGAAGCACCAGCGGCAGCGTGAGGTTGAGCAGCTTGGAGAGGACGAGGAGCACGAGGACCGCAGCGGCCGAGAGGACCTCGGAGGTAGAGCGCGGCCTCGCGGATCGCCAGAGGAGGTGGACCGTGCCCACCCACGCGGACCGCTGCGGTGCGGCGGCGGGGAGGAGCGGCTGCGCGAGCATTGACTCTCACGTTCGTACTGTCGTGCTGTCGTCGACGTCGACGTCGTCGACGTCGACGTCGATGGCGACGGCGACGGCGACGACTGAACACCCGATGCGACGGCGTGGCGTTGTGCTGGGGGGCGGGGGTTTTGATAAAAGAAATTTTCGAAGTTGACGTGCCTTTTTTTGAATGTTATTTTTGTTTCACTCAATCACGAAAGAGATTCTGTTTGCCACATCAGACCATGTGAGATGGGGCCGAGGGAGCATCGCAGCTGAGGTCCTTCCTTGCAAGCACGTCCAAACACCGTCTCGCGCCCGCCAGCGAGTCGGCCGGACCCCTGGCGGGTGCCGAGAGGCGTAGAGACGCGCGTGTGCGGAGGAGT